GCGGAGTGAAGAGGGGGCAGTGGAGTTTCTCTGTTCATCGCGCTGAAAAAAAAACAGGAGGCTCAGAGACGCCAGGCTGTTCCATCCCTGACGCTCCCCTGAAAAACAAACTTTCAACTGAGCTCGCACTGCAAAAGAACTCAGGATCAAAAAGAGCCCAAAATAAATACGGATGTCGGTCTTCTCTGTTTATTTTCTACTTCTGAAAAGTCTGTGGACATGACAGTATGCCAGCCCAAACAGTGTCGAGGGTATGCTGAATGTTGTCCCGAATTAACAGGCTGTTAAAATTCTTCTGGCGCTCATGCCTCGCCGTAGCGCGGTGAGCAGGGAAACGGTTTGCCACTCTGGGCTCCTCAAAGGCGGTGAGCAACCAGAATGGTGGATGAGATCGGCAGGCTGTGAGGAAGACACCTGGGCTGTCTGACAGGCGCGGGTCAGGGGCTGAGCCCTTCCAGGACTATTCCCAAGGCACATACAAGCTGCATACAGACAGATGCACAAAGGACTGCCCTTCTTTATCTGAAACGAGGTTACTAAGATAGAAAATATTGACTTGTCAGAGATAGCTCTTCCATATTTTAAGAAGTAAAACTGACTCCTATTGCACAGGCGTGGTAGGCAGGCACAGTGGCTAGCACTGCTGCCTTGCAGTGCTGGGCTCAGTCGTGTACCTGGAGAGCTATCTGTGTGGAGTCTGTTCTCCCTGTGCCTCCAGGTGCTCTGGCTTCCTCCCACAGCCCCACTCTCTCCCATATACATACAGGCAGGTTAACTGGCTTCTAGCAGAATCAGCCCTGGTGTGAGCATGCCTGTGTGTGTGACCCTGTATGGGATAAAGCACTTTAGAAATTATTATCATCATTATTATTATGACACCAAACAGATTCTTAGGTTCTCAAATTGAAGAAGACTGGGTGCTAGGCTGAGCTGCTGTGTTAGTGGGGTTTACATACTGATGTGGAGCCCTGCTACTGGGAAACCTCTGACTAGTGTGTGTGTGTGTGTGTGTGTGTGTGTGTG